GGAGAGGCGTCCCGCCTGGCGCACTACAACAAGCGCTCCACCATCACGTCCCGCGAGATCCAGACGGCCGTGCGCCTGCTGCTGCCCGGCGAGCTGGCCAAGCACGCTGTGTCCGAGGGCACCAAGGCGGTCACCAAGTACACCAGCTCCAAGTGAGTCCCTGCCGGGACCTGGCGCTCGCTCGCTCGAGTCGCCGGCTGCTTGACTCCAAAGGCTCTTTTCAGAGCCACCCACCTAATCACTAGAAAAGAGCTTGTTCACTTACTCCCTTAGTTTCTTCTCATAAAGTAATTTTAGTGTAAAGGTCATGGGAAATGCCACACGTAGGTTTTTAACCATTTGGAACTTGAGGTCCCCGGTGCATGATTGGATTTGCTTTTGAATCTAGAGCGTGTCTTCACTCATTGTGCTGCTTAGCTTTCCCAGGAGTCGGTTCTCAATTAGGATGTTGGGAATCCGCCTCTTTACCCGCCCCCACTCCCGCCCCACACTGGCGCCCTGGTGGCTTCTTGGGTCTGTTTCATTCTAAAACGAAGTGGCTGAGTTCGGCTGTTATTTAAGAGAACTCCAGGGCACAATTCAGCCCAGGTTCCGCAAACACTGCGTGACAGCTGTGTATGACTGACGCTTGGCAGCACCTTTTGTGTCCGGTCACCAGTTCTGCTGTGCAATGGGGTCTCCTGTGGATACCAGCCGTTCTGTGTATTTTGGACGAAGCCCGCGCAGCCGGGTCCCAGCCTTTTCCTGATTGGGCGACATGAATATTCAAAATTCTGCGCCTCTTTCTAATTTGTAGATTTCAGTTTCCGTCGTTCACTTTGAGACTTTGAAATTCCTATTTCTCGTTTTGTTGATAATTTTTGCATTTAATGGTCTCTGCTTTAAAGGGTAAGGCTACGGCCCCAGGTCACTGCGAGGCACTTACCGTGTAGATACGGGCTCAAAAGTCACCTGTCAGAGACCTACGTCATCCACTAAGGAATTCGCGCCGCTCATACTTGCCTGTCTCATTTTATCTTCCTTCTAGCAGCTGTCTGAAATTGGTTCGTCTGTTTTCTTGTTTATGGTATTCTCAAGCCCTTGACCGGCTGGTGTGGTTTTCCCGTGCATCTTCAGCCTGGCACATTATGGACACTTACTTTAATACTACGTATTGATGTAATATTGTTGGGTTAGTTTTTCCATCCCATCGTTTTCTTGATCGCTCCCGTGGATGGATGATGGGTGCTGTTCATTTCCATTAGATGTATGTGAAGACACGGTGAAAATGGAAATGTTTTTGGAGCTACTTCCTCAAATGTATCCTTAGTCACCTCAGTGCAACAGCTGGGAGGGGGCCGTGTTAAGATTTTTTTTGCATCAAAGAGGAGGTGGCAATGGTAGATCCACCCTTACGCTTCCCAGTTTAGCATAACCTCTTTTGGATTTTCATCAAATTCAGCGTATTGGTCACTGGAAAGAGCCTTTTCCTTCTTTTCTTACTCTCCCCTCTTGGTGTTCCCCTCTTAAAGGAGAGGAGCTTTTAATTGACAGTCATCACCTCATTTGCTTTCCAGGACGCCATGCAAGATAGGCAGGACTACAGGGTTAATCTCCTTTTTACAAATGAGGCCAAGGGAAGCCTCATTGGTTCACAGTCATGCAACTCATACTGTCCACCCTTGTATTCTCAGATGCAGGACAATTGCATTTTAGTTTTATTTTGTGGAGGTACAGAATATTTACTCTTTCTGTCCAACCCTTGATTCTGCCGAGGAAGACACTGATGGTTTGATGAGTGATTCAACTCTGTTTTTGGCTAAGGGTTTTTGGAGTTGATAGCAGGGGTCTGATGAATCCAAATGAGCTCTAGACATTATCACAGACTGAATAAATCTTAACTGTCTCCTACATGTGTGTTTTCAAATGTGTGTAGATGCTATTGTTATTAATAAAGTTACCAATTAAAGGCTTTGCTGGATTCTTTTATCTACAGTATATATTTCTCAATGAAGGAAATTAACAGATACAACTTACACAGGGTCTATAGAAAAGCATGGGTGCCTCTGATCTGGGGGATGACTATTTATAAGCCACCAGCCAAACTGCTGCCCCAAAGGTGCACTAGGGCTGAAATAGTCTCTTACAAGGCCACTGTAAATGCTTAGTAATTGAAAAATATATGATCACAAATAGAAAGCAGTACAAATAAGATGGAAGAACTAAAGTTCATAATTAAGTGAAGCTAACACCTGCGGAGCACTTACTGTGTGCTAGGTAGTGTTCTAGGCCCTTTATACATATTGACTCATCTAATTCTCACCAGGACCTCAGGAAGTAGTACCATTATTATCCCCCATTTTACAGATAAGGAAACTGAGGCAAAGAGAAGCCTTTCTTCAGAAACTCTCCAGAGGATAAGCTCCTAGGTTAGCAGTTAAGGGACTTGAGAAACAGGGTCATTCTGAAAACCTGGACCCTTCCCTGTGTTTTAGGGGGAAATATCTATGCTTTAGAATTGACAAGAAATATCACTGGTTTTATTCTCTTCAGAGTGCACGCTGGATGTAAATCCTGGGTAGTGGTGGCTGAGTACATTGAGGGTGGGATTAGGTGGCTGTGAGCCTCCATCCCAGAAGCCATAGCTCAACTCAATTGAGTTTGTCCCCACAGTGGTGGGGCTCACCAGCTGGAATCCTTTCACTAACATGAGAGAGCCTTAGTTGCTGGTTTTGGGCTCCTCCTGGGGATGATGTTCACTGGGAAGGATGTTACAGAGTGAGGAAGGGGGAAGAGGTGATAGATTTGATATTTTAACTCTGGAGGAGAAGTAATTGGTGAGATTAATCTTCAAGAACCTCTTTGATCATTTCTCCTGCTCAGACATCTTTAAACATTTGCTTTTGTAGGGGTTAATAACAATAATTGTTAATTACTGAGCACTTAACTGTTTACCTTAAACTTACTTAGCAGTAAGCTAAGAGTTTACCTTATACTTACTTAGCAGGATGGTCTCGATCTCCTGACCTTGTGATCTGCCCGCCTCGGCCTCCCAAAGTTCTGGGATTACAAGCGTGAGCCACCGTGCCCAGCCTGCAGCCACTTGTTAAGATAGGTTCTGTTGGCCGCACGCAGTGGCTCACACCTGTAATCCCAGGTGGGTGGATCATTTGAGGTCAGGAGTTCAAGACCAGCCTGGCTAACATGGTGAAACCCCACCTCTACTAAAAATACAAAGTTGGCATGGTGGTGGGCGCCTATAGTCCCAGCTACTCAGGAGGCTGAGGCAGGAGAATCGCGTGAACCTGGGAGGTGGAGGCTGCTGCCACTGCACTGCAGCCTGGGTGACAGAGGAAAACAATCTAAAAAAAAAGGACCAGAAGGACACTGTCATAGCTCGTAATATTGCTTATCAATAATTCTGTAGTAGGCCTGAAGGGCAGCTCTGTTTGGGTTTCAGAAATTGACCCTTAAGTGAGAGACTGTCCCTGTAACCTAGGGGACTAGGTTTAATAATTCATTTAATATGTGTGATTGAAAATCTGTATCTACTAATTTTATAAATATTATCTATGAACATTATTAAATTCTGTAAGAACAGCATTCTAGGACCATTTTCTTCTCTCTGACTCCTAAGCATTGTTAGGTGTGATATCATTTGTTCTTTCATTCAAGAATTTATTGAGTATCTGTGAAGATGGCAGGTAATCTGCTAGGTAGTGAGGACAGAAAATTGAACAGGAGTGGCTTCTGCCTTCCTGGACCTCCAGTGACTAGAAGAGAAGATATATTAATCCCATGACTATGAGAAAGTGTGACAAGTATTACAACTGTAGAGGTATAGATACAGAGAGTATAATGGAGGGAGTCCTGACTTCATGTTGGTGGGTGTAGGGAAGGACTCCCTGAGGAAAGGACCTTTAGGATGACACTTGACAAGGATAGGAAGGGTTTACCAGGCAGTGGATGGCATGGGCAAAGGCCTGGAGAGAGTGGAAAAGATCATGCTCAGGTAGATAGGAAGAACTGCAGGAAGTCTAGTACAGGTGGTGGTTACAGGGCAAGGAGGACAGAGCAGCATCAAGAGGTTACACGGGTAGACAGAGCCAGATCTTGCAGGACTAGGCTAGAATGTGTAAACTGACTTTAAAGAACCCAATGAGCTCCTAGGCTGACCTGACTATGGGAACAGAAAGGAGCTGTGTGGCACTAAAACCGGAAGAGTTAAAGTCTCAGAGCCCACATGGTTTATGCCCATGAA